ATGCCAGTTACACCTTGTCTTTCAATGACTTACTTGGCCATACAATTTATTTTATTTGATCCATCCATCACAAAGTATATTCTCATAATTTAACATTGGGCAGTTCATACCTGAAATATCATTCATGATAAATATCATATATGTTCATGATAAACATCATATGTAACAGTCAATGCATTTTATATTCAACCTTTGAAATATTAAGAATATGTCAAATATATGATGAATGACATAAATATCATGCCAACATAAATAAGGTAGCCTCATCGCAAGTCCTACCCAATGATGTATAGAACATCCATGTATAATGTCATGCATGCATTGCACTCACTTGACATTATATACAAGTCAAAATATAAGCCTCGCTAAACTTTAGCTTGATACTTTGCTTCTAATTCGGTTAAATCCCAAAATTTGTCATAATGTCATATTTTGGTAGTTTGCACTACCTTTAAAGCAATATTATTATGTATCAATATACACCTTTAAAAATTATTTTGTTTATACCATTGGAAACTATAATCAAATATTAATCTATCCATATAAGGCAATCATTCTAGTTATATTTGTACAATTTATGGTAACTTTTCAAAGTTGACTTAGAGAATCTGTTTTGAGCAGAAAATGTTTCCAGTTTTCTGACATATCATCGGTTAAAAATTCATATCCTTTTGTATATACCTCAAAATCAGTTTCCGTTTGTTTTAAACAAAACTAGACTGGTATATTAATCCAAATTTATAAAAAAAAATCCTCTAATCATTTTTTAGAATTTATGGTGATTTTCTAAACTTACTGTTCATAACAAAAACCTCGACATATTTCACCAATTTGCATTTTCATCTTATTCACTAATTCTATTAGCTCACCAAATGCACATGTATGCATAAACCACAAATCACATAGAAATTAGGAATCACTTATTATCATAGTAAATCCTTCACTGGCTCATCGCAAGCCAATGTTTGTTCAATAACATAAGTACAAATTAAATTTTCATTCACCTGATGTCCTTAGCTTGCAAACTTCCTTTAGGATTTCACATTCCATTCTTAAGCTTTTCCTTCGCTTTAATATTGCTTAACATTGATTGCAAGGACACAATCTAAATGAGCATCATTACAAACATATTCAAATTCAAACTACATGTTAGAATCTTACTAACATAGGCACACAATAGAAAATAATTTCCTAAAAATTCTTTCGATGCTCATTCTATACTAATTCCATATCACAACATAATTGTTAACCATAACACTTTAAAATTGACCATTCAAGTCCCTTTTTATCCAAATTTCACATAATATTTTCACTTGAGCTCCCAACTTTTCCATATTTCTAATTTAAGCCTCAACTTTTATTAACTTCCCAAAATAAACCAATTTCACATTCTAACATCAATTTCAACACTCAAACATTAATTTCCAGCTTAGTACCTTAAATATTGAACCATTACACAACAACCCACAACTTTTCCATATTTGCTAATTAGGTACCCCAACTTTCATAAAATTACAAAATGATCCCCAAATTTTTCTAAGGCTTATAGGATACTTCTTACATCATTTCCAGTTCCTAAAAAATTTTCCATAATTTTTTTATCCTCTATAGTCAAGTTCAAATGCTTTATATGTTCAAGATTACGGTTTTCATGATTTTACTCGATTTGATTCGATTCGAGTATGAAATCAACCTCTATTAAACTTTATAAGATCTCTAGAATCAAATCCCTAACTTAATTTCATCAAATCACTATCGTCCCCCAAATCTAGGGTTAGGCCGAAGTCAACATAAGCATGTATAGACATGTATAGGTGATTTTAATCGACAATCAAACTTGTAAACGATTATACAACCTCAATAACATCAAAATCCATCATCAATTGAATAAACCCTAGAATTTAGGATCTTTGAACTCAAGAAAAATTAGCATGCAATAATGGTACCAAATGATAGTATTTTTCGAATAGAAGAATTTTCTATTTCACGACTTAATTCAAAAACTAAAGGAAATTGCTCAGAAATGAAAAATAAAATTTCTCTTACCTTGGTGTTGGGGAGCACGAAATGGATTTGAAAAATGAACAAATTTTATGAAAATTTTCCTTTCATTTCATGTTAATTTACCTTTTATTTAAGCTTAATGATAAAATATTTATTTAATGAGAAATGTTCATTTTACCCTTAATGAAACTTGATATTTACCTTAATATCAAGCCACATAACCCTTATCGTCTTTCCAAAGTCAAATATAAACAAATTATTTTTCCCTTTACAACTTTGCCCATGCATTTTCCAAAAATTTCAATCTTGCCATTTTTCATCCAACGGTCCAAATTGAACATGGAAATAAATTGTCAAATCCAATGCTCCATATTATTTTCCATCATTTTAAAATGTGAAAATAATATTTCTAAGATTAATTTATCATCCTTCATATTTTTCTCAAAATTTCTATTCGAATCGATTTACCTAATTTTTACCGAACTTTAACACTTTTTATTTTTGAACATAGTTTCTAAATCTAGAATCTGATTTAAATGAAACCCCACTCTTATGAGAAAACTTTCCATGGAATAAATTTTTTTTGGGAAAATTACAAGTTAGATCCCTAAACTTTTCCCAAATTTCTACTTTAGCTACCAAACTTTCAAAATTTATATTTTTATCACTAACAAAAATTGTGGGGTATTACAGTAAAATTTGTAACATTAAATATTTGGATTAACTTAAAAATAATTTAAACATCTAAAAGAGAAAAATAATTTAATCTGAGGACTTTTTTCTTATTAGTCCTTTAAGAAATCATCTTTTAGCGATTTAACATGGATTTAACATTGACGACTACTAAAAAGGGTGTACTACTTAACTATTGCTATTTTTTATTTTGATTATTTTAAAATATTTCAATCAGGTCACCCAACCATTTAATGCATTCAATTAAGTCATGAGTCGTTAATATTTAATGGAAGAGGTGATGTAGTAGTTAATCAAAATAATATAATTACAAATTTGGTCCTTATCATTTATACATTTTATCAATTTAGTCTTAATTTTATTTTAATTTAATAAATTTAATTCTATAATCATATGGTGACACATGTTACCATTTTATTAAAGAGTTTTTTTTATTTTAATTTATTTAATATAAATATTTTTCATCCAACCAAACGGTGATACTTGTCACAATCTGGACCGACCCGGGTTACACGCCTAGTTTTAGTGGGTGAATCTCACAATGGGGATTTTTTGCATGGACAAGTTCTCAAATATGAGATCTTGCTTAAGCAATATCAAGCTGCTTATCACTTGAATCAATCCCTGTTGGTGAGTGCTCAATGTCACTAAGCTAGAACCTTCTTTTGTGATTTATACAATTATGTATATAATCTATATTGAGGTTGCAAAGAAAAATTATGTGTTAGTTTAAATGTGGATAAATTTTATATATACTATCATAAAAGAAAGAAAACTAATTATTCAAGGACTTGAACATAGAAAATTATATAATTAGGTGATACCAACACCACTAAAATATAATTTTATATATCCTTTAAAATTATTCATTGGTTCTTATGTGAAACTTTTTAATATATACTTGAATCTCAAATTAATATAAGATTAAAATAAAAACAAGTTTAATTTTTATATTTTAAAATTAAACTTAAAATGTTTTCCATGATTTACAATTAAATGATTTTACATTTGAGTTGAAAAATATTTTTTAAGTGCACTTTTTATCCAGTAGTTATAAATTTATAAATTATAAAATAAAAACATCATACGATACAAATAAATGTTAAAAATATAATGTGGACTCTAAAAAATAATTTTTAGATACAAAAATTTAAAAATTTAATTTTTACGTTTGAGTTAAAGAAATGGGTATAAGATATATTTTTTATTTAAGTATTATCGTTTAGCATTGTTTATGATTTCAAAAATATTTTTAATAAGTATTGACGGATAAAATTTAAAATGACTAAAACTTAAAACAATTATTTATGCATTCTATTTGGATGTTTTTGCATTCAATAAAATTGATAATCGAACCTTAAAATTTCATGATAAATTGATATATGTTTTATACAAAATATTTAATTTAATTAAAAAATAAAAATCTATAATTTATTTTTATTTTTAATGTTAAGTTAACTTAAATTTAAAGTATATGTAAAATTTATCATATTTAAACCAACGAACAAATATTCCTTTGTAACCTCAACATATGTAATATACATGATTGTATAAACCAATCACAAATGAAGTGTTTGGCTTAGTGGTATTTGAGTGCTTAGCTTCCCTTTAAGCAGCATGTTACAAGTCCAATTCTTTCCATCCTCGTTATTTTGTAATATGTTTTTTTACTAGATTGTGACATGTGTCACCATTGGATTAGATAAAAAATATTATACTAAATAAAATAAAATTATAAAACTCTCCAATAAAATGGTGACATGTGTCACCATATTATTAAATAATTAAATTTATTGAATCAAATTAATGTTAGGACTAAATTGGTAGAGTGTATAAATATTAAAGGCTAAATATATAATTATAATATTTTAATTAACTACCATATCACCTCATCCGTTAAATATTAAGGACTAATGGCTTAATTGAATGCATTTAAGTAGTTAGGTAACCTTATTGACAAAATTTTAAAAATGATAATCAAAATTGAAAAGAGCAATAATTAGACGGTCAATGCCATGGTATAGTTTACCCTAAAAACAAGGATGGATAAAAAACTTTTTAAAATTGAATGACTAAACTAAAAATTTACTACTAATCGGGTGACTATGTGGATATTTACTCAAGTTTAAAAGTATGAAGAATCCAATAACTGGGGCACAACACAAGTAACCCTAAATTAAATGAAACGAAGGTTAAATCTGCGTTGGCCAAAAAATAGTTGGAGCTTTATATTTCTTTTACATATATAGAGGGACCTATTTCGTAATAAAAGGTTATTTATATCCTTGTGTTGCGAGTTCGATTTCAAGTGCCGGCAAAAGAAGGAAGCTAACAAAAAAAAACTGACTGGAATATCCATGGCAGCGGCGTCAACGGCGAACCTGCTTATGGACCTCCGATTGGAGAGTTGGAAATCCAACGGCGCTGTTCCTCTTTTACTCCCTAAACCCACTTGGGTCGTCAGAACTGAGGTCATTTTTCTTTTCTTCATTTACCGTCTTTCATTTCTCCAATTTCGTGGAAGGAATACAATCACACCAAATTTAAATTTCGTTTTCTGCTACGCTAAATAAGAACGTTCTTTGCGACTCTCGTAGGCCGATCTGTTGAAATTTCTATCAAGTGATGTTCTTGTTCCTATGTTTTAATTTAATGTTTCTGTTCTTGTTCTCTGTAATTTTTGTTGTTCTAAGTTCAAACCCACGCCACGTACATAGTTCGATTCTGTTATTAGTTAATTAATTGAGTTTTGGGAAATAAAGAAATGGTTATTAATTAACACTGGCTTGGCAGAGGATGTTAGTTTCTTTTAACCTAAGTTTAAAGCATGTTGTTTGTGCCATCATGGCTGAAATTATGATTGTGTAAAATAAGCAAGCTGTTAGAGCATCATTGTGTTGTGGTATTTGCAGTCAAATGTTGGGCGAAAGATAATGAAGAAGCCTGATCCACCGTGCGTTGTCTGCAAGGGAAGCGGCAGAGTGGATTGCCATTATTGTCATGGAAGAGGTATGTCTCTCCTACATAATTGATTAGGGTTTATCTCCAAACTCCATTTTAAGTATATATAAAAAAAATGCATCCTTTCTTCAAGCTGCCTGTAAGTTTCTTGCTTTCCAGTTCATTCTTTTTTACCAGTTCTGTTGCTTCGACCATCATATGCAGTTCTCTGTTGTGATTTGGTTCCCTCTCTTGGATTTTTTTTGTAATGTTATAATATTGATGTAGGAAGGACAAACCATGCTCATGTAGAGATGCTTCCCAAAGGAGAATGGCCAAAATGGTGAGGTATCAATACATAATATTATAGAAACTGCATATTGGGTGGTGGTAGGTAATGGTGCAAGCCAGCAGCTTCACTGAACTCGTTGAGACTACATGTGCAGGTGCAAGAGTTGCGGTGGCAGTGGCCTCAGCTACTGCTCTCGTTGCCTTGGAACAGGGGAATACAGGTATATAATGGGCTTCAATTTCATGAAGCGAGACAATGATAGCACCCAAGATACCAAGTATCAGATTGAAGGTGACCGTGATTCACAGAGTACGGCCGATCGATTGCTTCATCGTGAACAGACTGATCATTCAGATAATTAGATATGGAGGAAGAAATGGTGGAAGTAAACACTCATACGCATTACTGTCATGTCCGATGAGATAATGGTTTGCTGCAGACTGGTCATTTGGCTATGCTAGGACTTAAATTGATTAAAAAAACATTTACTTTTATTAACACTTTGATATTCCATTCCATTTCTTTATTTAAATCCAAATACAACCATATACAAACACAATCAAAGAAAAAAACTTAATAGCATTCGATTGCTGGATTTAATTCATTCCAACTTCTGTGATTAAAATAAGACTACCTACCTACGCACTGTAACACTCCCTCCCTAGTACAAAAGACAATGGTTTGCAGGCAGATTCCAATGCAATTCCATAAAACCAAAATGACATTTCCAGAAATCAATCAATGCCCAAGGTTGAATAGGGTTCAAATCCTCCCTGCCAATTATAAATATTTCAATATCAATAAAACTCTCAAAACTCAAATTGATTCGGATTAGAATAACTTGAATATGACTTAGAACATAACAAGAAACAACAAAATACATTTCCATGAAATTCACTAAACTGAAAAGACGTAACTTTCTAGGAATCCCTCTAATATATCATTTAGATATTTATTTAAGGGCAGCCTATTGCCCACGGTGCAGCAAAGCAGATCCATTCAAGTTTAGCTATAGAATGACATTAAATCTTATAAAAGAATTTGCAACAGATCAACACTTGTATCAAGAGATGAATTAATTTTGTTTTTCTACTTTCATGTAAGGAACAAAATTTGATTGTTAATGTTATAAGATAGATTATACTGAAAAGTTCTACTTACAGAGCAGTCATCATGAACACGCCATATGGTCTCTCCCAGAAGGTTTGCCACTGAGAGGACTGTCAACTGAGGAAAATAGTTCTGCTCCAACACTGGGATGGTGTTTGTTATAATTACTTCTTGGAAAAGACCACTTGACAATCTCTCTATTGCAGGAGGACTGTGAAACCAGGCAATGTATCAATACAATGATGAACATTTACAAATATGATAGGGTATAGCAATTTTTCTTGTTCTTTTTATCAAAGAACATACAAACAAAAAGGGTTAGTTACCAAAATTAAGCCATCATTGCCTAAATAGTATCCCAAACACAATTTATTAATAAAACAAAACTTTAATAGTTTGGAGCAGAAGAAACCTTTTAAAGCTGCTCCCAGAGTATTAACAAATTCAAACTTTTAAGAGATGACCAAAATCTAGCCCAGGTGAAATTGCTTAAATATGTATACAAGGAAGCAAGTTCTGCTAACAAGATTTAAACACTGATAAAGAACAACCAAGCACCACATACCTAAAAACAGCATGTGTACTACACGCATACACTTCCCGGGCCCCCTCTTGATGTAAAAGAGCTGCACCTTTGGCGATTGTTCCTGTGAAAGCCACAATTCGATTAACATCTGATGAAGACTCTGTAACTAGCATTCTCATGTTAATGCTGGTAAAGTAGAAATACTATATGGCAAGGCTAATAAATTCTGATTTTTAAGATACAGTCGCAGAAAGAAATATCATCTGAAATCACATTTTTCCCAAGAGATAAAGAGAAGAAGAATACCAGCAGTGTCAATCATGTCATCAACCATCACTGCAACTTTTCCATTCACATCACCTATCAAATTCATGACCTATAAAGATCATATTTGTTTGTTAATTTCGAGTTCAATTTGAGAATGCACCATATTTCTTTACAACAGAAAAAGTGTATGAAGAAAGAAAGAAGCTTGAAAATAGAAGCAGACATTGGACTAAATATTGTTATTCTAATCAACTTCAAAAAAAATTCCGTATACATACATGTGCACAGCCACAAATTACATTATTTAAATGTTAATCTATTGAGATTATGCATAAGATAGCCCTAATAAATTAGATCTCACCTCTGCAACATTATGCACATGACGCCTTTTATCAACAATAGCAAGAGGTGCATCAGATAATTTTTTGGCAAAAGCACGCGCTCTAGCAACACCACCAACATCAGGCGAGACTACCACCAAATCATCAGAACATATTGTCTTGCTAGCAAGATAATCTAGAATCACAGGCTGGAATTGCAGAGAGAAGTATTTGAAGTGAGCAAAAGGTTTATATAGAAAATGTTGCTGACGTAGAACAGGCCTGTGTCAAGAACTGATACAGGAGTAGCTAAAGAAACAGAAATACAAATATATAAAAACCTCTTCATAGAAAGATTACATTTAGGCTTTGCATAAGTACTAAAGTATAGATACTTGAATCATACAGTATTTAAGCTAAATACTTTTGTCTAATATTGATTAGAACCTCTAAACATAGAACATCCAAGTGGTACAGAGAGCATGTGCAAAAATACCTGCCCATAAACATGATCTACCGGGATATCAAAGTAACCCATGGATTGCCCTGAATGAAGATCACAAGCAAGAACACGATTTGCGCCTGCTTCAGTAATCAAATTTGCTACAAGTTTGGCAGCAATAGATTCGCGCCCCTGAGTCTGGAAGAACAGTGGATAAAATCACCAATCAAGCAGTATCATGTGTTCAGTGAAGAATGCATATGCAGAGCAAAGCTATCATCTCAGGCTGTGCCTTTTTCATTTATAGGACACCTAAAGTTTCATAATATTTCTTTCTTACTTTCATTTGGATTCAGGGAAATGATTAAAAAGGAGATTTGGAAGTTCTGAAAAAAAGCATATGTTGCACTTGAACAACAAACCCCAAGGGTATAATTCAACTAAATTGATTCCGTACTTCAATTCAATTACCATTTTTGGAAATAACAAGAATCAAACTACTTCTATAGTTTAGAACAATGAGACATGATTTAGAAATAATAATTCAACTAGAAATCTGGAACTGAATTCCGTTTGATCAAGCATCCCATAGTGTAGAAATGCATAGTTTAATTGGTCTTAGTTGAGTTACCTTTCTGTCGGCCCTGGCATAGCCAAAATAGGGAATGACAGCAGTAATGTTCTTAGCAGAAGCCCTCCGACAAGCATCAATCATAATGAGAAGCTCCATAAGATTCTCATTGGCAGGGGGGCAAGTGGGTTGGACCAGGAAAACGTCGCAACCTCTCACACTCTCTTGCAACTGAACATAAATCTCACCATCAGCAAAACGCTTTATCTTGATTTTCCCAAGCTCCAGACCCATATAGCACGCGATTTCCTATCCAATATAGAAATAGCAATTACACAACTCATGTTCCCTAATTAGATATATAATCTAAACAATCTGAAAGAAAGAAAGTGTTTAGAGTTGAATCTAGAACCTGAGAAAGAGCAGGATTAGCAGTGCCAGAAAAAATACGGAGCCTCGTGTCGTTTTTGTTGACATCACTAGGGAAATGGGAATTTGAGGACAAGAAGGTTGGCAATGCAGGGTCAGTGGTGAGGAGAGGAAAGTAAGGCTTTCCATTTTCGAATTTCAACGGCTCCGCCACATTACATCTCTATAAGAAAGGGAAACTCGCCCGAAGATTCTGTTAGATAATTAAGGGAAAACAAACAGCAGCAAATCTAAATTGAGAGAAAAAGAGAACTCACGAAGCGGTGCCGGAGAGGGAAGCGAGGGAGGGTGTTAAGGAGAGTAGCTGAGGAGAGTAGTAAATTGGAAGAACAGAGGCCGAGCAGAGATGACGCCATTCAGTCACCCTTATATTTTGTCAGATCAAATTCTTTTAGGGTTTCAATTTGAAAGGCTCATCATCATCTTCTTCTCATACTATATAATAGTACTAATAATTCCACAGTCAATTGGTGATGTGGGTGTCATGGTAGGTGGTGGAGATTTTAGGTTATCACTACAGCAAAACTAGGATATTAATTTTGTTTTATTTTTGGGAGGGACATTTATTATTTAATTTGTCCCATTCAATCTCAAAAGTGTGGGACTATAAAAATAATATAAGTGTTTTTTTAGGCTTAACAAAAAAAACCCCTCAAACTATATTTTTTTCTCATTTAAGTAATTAAATTTCTTTCCTTCAATTAAGATAATTAAATGTTATAATTTCATGTGTGTTGATCATTAAAATAATTCGTTAAGTGACACGTATTATATTTATATAACTTTAAAAAATTTATTTAAAATAAAAAACTTTCTATTTAAAATTTTTAGAAATCTTAAAAAACCTCAAAAACTTTAAAAATCCTAATTTCAATCCATATACTTACGTCGATTGTCGATTTATTGCCGTTGTCATTGATTGAATCTATCCTCGACCGTGCCTCCACTCGATGAACAACCACTTTAAAACCCCACCCGACGAATCAAATGATTACAAATTGTGACACACGATAACTCTGATGGTCATCTTGACGACAAGGACAATGACAACCAACAAGAGAGATGGTAAGGGTGACATCGACAGCGATGCTTGTGACCGACAACTTGATAATGGAGACGGTAAGTTTAGAATTATGGATTTTAGGATTGATTTTAAGAATTTTTAGGGATTTGTTTTTTTTTATAATTTAGAGAAATTAGGGTGTTTTAAATATAATAATATTTGTAAGTTTTTTCAATTTAAAATTATTTGGACGCTACACGTGTCATTTAATGGATTTTTTAACGTCAAACACTTAAAATAGTAACGTTTGTAACGTTAGACACATGTATTGATTAGAAAAAGAGTTAGACACCTAAATGAAGAAAATGATATAGTTTGAACACTTTTTTATATCAAGTCTTTGGCTTAATACATAAGTAAGTAACTAAATTGTTGGCGACTAAAATGCTCTAAAAAATAATATGACCAAAATGACAATTTTAATAAATGTTGAGGGCTATTTTTGATATTATGTTTAAATTAATTTAAATTTCAAAATTTTGATAAATTAAATTTTATATTCAGATATAGTACAATTTTAGTGATTTGAATTTTTTAAATATCTGAAATTGAGAGACCCTTTATCCTCCGCTTATTCAAGTTGATAATAGAGAGATTGAGCCACAGTATAACTCATTATGTGGATTCTGGGAGTTGGTCTGCTTTCAAACTAGCCCAAAATGGTACACCAATCTTACCTATCCTTTATATCGATGATTTGATCTTATATACTAAAGTAGATATGGAATATGTTGATATTGTTGATGCAACACTGAAAAGGATGGGATTTTACTCTCCAGTCATATGGTAAACAAATAGAAAACA